TCTCTAAAGGCCTTCCATCATTAGCATGAAGATGGGTCATTCAGTAATGAGGAAACACACCATAAAATTGGGTTATCCATTTGCTGTTGGATTTGTTGGAATGTTTCATAAGATGATAGGGGCATCATAGACCGGGTATGGGAGGGGCCTATCCTAAAATGGAAGACTCTCTCACGGTACCTTGGCGTTCATGAATATGATGGGTGAGCACTCACTGTATAGAAAGGTTTAACCTAAAATGGCAATGAACCTTGTCTGACAGAGGCCAAAGGGAAAGCTCATAAGATGAGTGGATATGATCCTTCACAGAAAGGTGGAGGGGTTATGCAACTGAAACAGTTGGCTCCATGCACCCTATGTGATTTCCCACATTTCTAGAGACATAATTCGTAGTCTCCATCACTGAGATAGGAGGGAAATCTCAGAGATGAATAAATGGGAATGGAACATAGATTGAAAGCCATATCTATGTAGATAACATGAATCAAATAAGGTTGTGGACTAATATTTGCTTTTTATCAGAAATTGCAAATGGACAATACGCTAAATTGCTGGATGACAACAAACATAAGGGCCCAAACTACGCTGACTGGTACCGAAACCTTATGTTGGTCCTGACATTAGAAAAATTGGACAAAGTAGCTAAAAATGCTACTTCGGAACATCCGGGTGATAGGGCTTCTGAGGCCCTTAGGAGGGACTACCAAGAATGGAAAGAGAAAAATTCCCTTGCCCGCTGCTACATCATTGCATCCTTAGACAATCAGATACAGCGACAGTTCGATCAAATCGAATTGTCCAAGGAGATCTTGGACAATCTGAGGACGATGTACGAAGAGAAGAATCATTCTACTCGATAGAAGGTCTTGAAACAGTTCATGACCGCRTAGATGTCCAAGAACCAACAGGTTCATGACCATTGTCTTAAGATGATGGAATATATCAATGAACTTGAGGCTCTTGGATCCGGGCTTGACCATGTCACTAAGGTGGACGCCATCCTAAATTCTGTCTCCTTCCTTCAATCAGTTCATCATGAACTACAACATGAATAAGTTAAATGTTAGCATCCTAGAACTCAGCAATATGTTGCAAAGGGCCGAGGAACTGATTAAGAAGGATGAGTCCATTGGCATGCTTGTTGAAGCCGGCAAATCGGGCAAGAAGAAGAGGAAGGCTAAGAAAAAGCCTCAGAAGAAAGCTACTAAGTCCAAGAGGCAAACGAAAAACAAAGCATCAGATGCTTGTCACTCTGCAAACAGACCGACCATTGGAAGAGAAACTATCCTTAGTACCTGAAATCCAAGAAACAAGGTAATTTCGACTGCCAAGGAGGTTCTTTAAGAAGCCTTTTCCACTGCCATCTCCTCCATGCATATTCGTGTAGTATTGGCTCTTCTTCAAGAGCCTCCCTTCCTTAGACCTCTCTGTTTCTGTTTTTGCAGCCTTCGATCCTCTTGGGTGGGATTTGAACGGGTTAGAAAACAATGTGTTGGCAGAGAGAGAGAGGGAGAGAGAGAGAGAGAGAGAAGGGGAAGAAGGGATGCAGCGGTGGCTTCGTTGTGCAGAGGTGAAGAGAGAGAGAGAATTGTTTTCAAAGGGATTTAACAGAAGGGTAAAATTGAGATTTCAACCCTTCCGTCAATATTTATCGGCAATGCTAATTTTTTAAAACAATAGAGGTAACTTTAGATAATAGTCAAACAGTAAAAATATACTTGGTCAATTAGCTAAACCATAAGAATAGTTTAAGAGATATAATGCGCCACTCAACACAAATGGAAACCAACCCTGCCCAATTATTGTGAAGGGGCAGCGTCAACATGGTAGGGGCAGTGAACTACGGCGATGCAACACCATATACACTCTTGCACGGTTCGAGCAAGCACCCACATCTCAACACTAAGAGTTGCGATCAGGGCCCTAGTAGAGACATTCAAACACCCACATGATCGACGAAGACCAAGCTGCTTGAACATCAAATTTTGTGAAGATGACATGCTTGGCCACTGACTCTTACCACAACCAACCTTTGTACATCGTAGTGAGAATCTCTGGGCATGAGATGCGACGAGCACTAATCAACCTAGGGAGCTCTATCAACCTTCTACACACACGCTAGCTATGACTAATGAAGATCACAGAAGATGATGTTTGTGGATTGCCAGTGGAAGTAACGGCCTTTGACGGAAACATATCGGCGACACGCGGCTCCATCATGCTCATTGTGGTCATAGGACCTTTCTTTGTTCAACGAATTCCATGTAATCTCTGGGTGCACATCATACCATGTCCTACTCGGCAACTGCTAATCCATTACCTCAGCATGGGACGGGTGGTTCGGATACCTGCCACTAGGGTACCATTCGAACGATTCAAGGCACACCTACCAGATGCGATTTGATTTACTACATCGAATTGGCAAACAACGGTGAAGCTGGATCAAGGGGATAGAACCATCAAATGAAGAAAAGACTGAGCCGGCCACGACACCCCAGGAGCAGAATAAAACGATGGCACTACGTCAAGGTAATCAACCCAGATGGCCATGCCTACTACACGATCATGGAAGAAGACGAGAATACCATCACCCTTGTCGCAAAGAATGCTCATTATTCCTATGGCTAGAAACTTACTCATTTGTCTAAGCTTACGGCGTGAAATCACGATTCTTGATGTCATTTCGGGTTGGAGGACACGACTTAGGTGTACAACTGCGATTGTTGAAATTTCCCCAAACTATAGTTGAAGAATTTCGGAGCGAACGAAGGAGCAAAGAACTCCATGGAAGCTAGCGGCGATAGTCTTGCTTATGAACTCGCACTGCCCCAAAACTCTTTTGGCGAAAAGATTTTTTTTTTTTTTTTTTTTGAAGTTTTGAGTAAGCCTGTATACGGGTCGGACCGGTTCGGTTTTGCCTATTTTTGTCAACCGAAGCGATGACATCGGATTGATTTAAATACCAATTTAAACTGACCAATGTTAATTTAAAACCGAATTGAAATTGGTTAGGTAGCTATATCCCATAGTTTGATATAAAAGTGGGACGGATTTTATAGATGGTTAGGTAGCTATATCCCATAGTTTCATGAAAACTTGACAAATGAAATGACTAGTAAGGGGCCTACGTCCATAGTAGTACTATATTTATTTCTCTCTCCAAACACATTGGAATATAGGTCCCATCAATAAAATTTAGATTGTATCAAAGACCAATAGATCCTTGGATGGCCAGAATTTTACGTTATGGTGTTGCCGTGGAATATATATATATATATATCAGTTTAAGTCAGGCCATAAAAATGTAAGCCATAATCAAACTGAGTCGTCGATTTCTACTGTTATCAAAGCTGAAATCGACCATCACAGATTGGATTGGTTAAGTTTGGTTAATTTATGATATTTTGTGAACAGCCCTAATTTTGAGTGATACAACAATTCTTTGTACCACAACTTTCTCTAGAGATCAGAGATCCAACCAGAGATCTCAAGTAAGTGCCATGGGTTCCATGATCGTGATGGTCTAGTCTTCGAAGGTCGGAGAGAATGGCCATCAAGAGAGAAGGAGAAAAACAGTTGTAGAAAAACCCTATAGTTAGGGCTGTTAAACAGTGTCTTACGTAGGAGGAGAATTGTCTCTCTCTAAGAAGACTTCTTTCATACTTGTATAGACAAAAGGTCGGGGTCCCAAGAGGAAAGCAAAGAGACAAAAGGAAACTTTGGTTAAAAATTTGTTAGGTAGCTAACAAAATACTTGGGGTTTCACCACATGTCCAAGAGAATCACTTGGGATCAGGAACTCCCGTCTTTAGAGTTCTCATGTGGGTACATTTGTAACTATGATCCCTTAGCATCAAGAATCCTGTCTTTAGAGTTGGCCACATGTCCAAGAAAATCCCTTTTAATAGCTTGCTCATTGTTGCGCACTGTGATCCCTTTTGCAGGAGCATAAGTGTTTTGAGAGTGGCATCACGACTCTCTTACACCGAGGCACTTGCGATGCCGCTCTCAAACACTTAAACGCTCCTGCAAGAGGATCATACGAGACAACGAGCAAGCTTTTAGAAGAGATTATAATTATAGATGTACCCACATGAGAACTCTAAAGAAGGGAGTTCCCAATACTAAGGGATTCTCATCAACACGTGACAAAACCCCAAGTTTCTTACTTGTTTGCTACCTAACAAATCTTTAACCACTTTCCCATAGCGAGAAAGTTTCCTTTTCTCTTTGCTTTCCTCTTGAGACCCCGGCCTTTTGTCTATACAAGTAGAGAGAAGTTTTCCAAGAGAGAATTCTCCTCCCACGTAAGATACTTCTTTCTCCCTCTCCTCTCTTGACGGCCATCATCTCCAAACCTTTGGAGACTAGACCATTACGATCATGGAGCCCATGACACTTACAAAATTAATTAACTTCAAAAATTTACTAATAACTTAACTTTAGTCATTAATTTAACTTAAATCAAATTAATTAAATTGTTAAAAATCAGAGTTTCTCTAAAAATTATTATAATCCATTTTATTTTAAAATTATTTTTAATTTAAAATATATTTAAATTCTATATAATATAATAAAATTTAATAAAATATTACTAAAATTAGTGAAAATATTAAGTTTAACATAATTTTTATTAATTTAAAACATAACTTTGTAAATTAATTAAATTAACCTAACTTAAAAATCATACTTTATTGACTGAAATTATTTACTAAAAATTATTAAAATCGATTTGCTAATTTAAAATTCTTTTAAAATCCATTTAAATTCCATTATAAAATGATACAATGTAATAAAATTTTAATAAAAATACTAATTTTAATGCAAAACCCATATAAAATAATTACATTAATAAAATTTCAAAATTAATTAACCTTGCCTAGCATCCTAGGTCTGGATATGGATGTGCACATAATCTTGGACATCGAATGTGGATCTTTAATCGTAAAAGAAAACAAAAAGGAAAGAAGATGAATGTATAATCAAAGCAAACCAAACCATAAAAAGAGATATTGCATATGGTACAAATGTAGAGCTTGGAAAGTTTTTACATTAAACTCGGGCATGGAATGGATCTTGGATCTTTAATGATTGTCCCCACTTTCCTACAGAATTTACAAGTTACAACAAATCAACCCAAGTCACCTCACATTTGTGAAAGTGGAATCTTTCCTACAAAGCTCATTTTAAAACCACAACTAAACAATAAACATGAAATGGACAGTAAAAGTTCTTGCTTGGCATGGCTAAAGACCTCCATTCAGATATAATAGGCCACACTTATCATGCCTGAATCAATGGATTCTACATCCTCTTCTTGGTGAGTGGGCTCCCAGAAAAAAAAAGAAAAAAAAAAAAAAAGGCAAGGTTCAAATAATGTTAGTGTTATGGAAAAATGATGTAGTGTTATAATCCATGCGAAGTACATAGAAGGAACCACCTCCACCTGTAAGGCTGTAACGAGATATTATCACTAGAAAATCCATAATTTAGGGGGCACTGACAGAAGAGGGAAGCCACTCTGCCATATGCGAGGATGTCATTTGTTTGAACTTTGAACATATCAATGCTGTGTTTGACCTTTTCTCTCTGGACTTGAAGCTTTTGTTGTTAAAGCTTCAAGCATGGACTGAGCTACTACAAACTTTTCCCTCAGCAAGACATTATATTCATACAGATTTTGGAGATACCTCAGGATATCTGACATATCAATTCCAGAACCAGTTCTAAAATCTGCAATAAAAAATGGTAAAAAAGGACATTATATCATGTTATCAATAATGTGAAGTAGCTTAACAAAATCATATCAAATCCCAATACTAAGAATAAATCACTCTCCACCAGATTATCAGTACATGGATATTAAATAAGTGACAAGTGGGATGCATTTATATCATACTAAAGGCCAATTTAGTGACAAAATTCAAGGTAAAAAAGTTTATAGAATTACTTCTAATTAATCAGTTTATCATCATATTTTGATCCCATTGGAAGAACTTCTATTTGCTCTGACGATGCTGTGTGAAAGAACAGACCCTACGTCCATTCAACAGGGCCTACAGCTCCAGCTCTGGATCTAATGTCTTTGCCTGTCAATGGAACTAGGTTCTACAGTTCCATGGGCCTCAGTTCAAGCAATTACATCACTCTGTTCTACTAAGCTTCCTTTGTATAACCTTCTTTTTTTACCTTGAAAAGTTAAATAAATAAATTGTATCATTGGAATCAACCAGTTGTATTATTTTTATTGATCATATTAGCTAGATAATCCCCAAGAATTATCTTATGCACAAAGATTCCAAAACAATATGTCAATGATCTGACTTCCAAGGCATCATAAAAATCACTTTTTTTTATCAATAACCATCATAAAAATCATTTTATACATTGAAGTTTGAAAAATCCTAAACATATATAGATAGGAAAAATAAGACTAACATAGCATTTAACATATTTCAAAATTCAAGTGCAAGAAATGTTGATACCTAGTACGGGAGGTGGTGGAAGCATACTATCATTATGAGGGGATAGCTGAAGATGAGAAACATTTCCTTCATGAGGACCAACCAAAATCTCCCCATTTCCATTATTAGGAAGCAGTTGGTGCTCTAGTACCTTGAGAAGCATAAAGTGAAAGGTGTGAGAATTAACATGCATTTGGGCAGGATGAAATTGTTTTCAATCAAGATAAACAAGTCATAATGAAAAGACCGAAGGATCTTTATACAGTAATACAGGAAAGAACAAATACTAGTCCCCAAAAAATTAAATATATAATAATTTAGAAAGATAATCAAAAGAAGATGCTCAAGGAAACAATGGTAAAGGAAAGCCCCATAGGAAGGGGGAACCCAGAAAAGAAAAACAAGCACAAAAAGAACCCGAGGTTATCAATAACCAATAAAAACAATTAGCATTCCTGGGATGATAACCCCCTCCAATAAGCTACCTCAAGAGCTATCACCACATGTTAAGACAGTTAAAAATCAAAAATATTATAAAAACATTTGTTTAACAGTATTGGCATTCACCATTTACAAATTTTATAATTGAAGACCAATCAAAATTGACCTGACTCTGAAATTGTAAGCCCTGGATTTAGCGTCAACAATATCATCCCAATATCAAGCTAAAAATTTCATATTACTCGATAATGAAATCAAGAATTTATATGGTTTATGCATATTGCTTGGCTTATTTGATATTCAAGTAAACACAATCATATTGCCATTGTCAATTTGCCATATTGCATGAATATTTTATTACTTTGATTCCTTTGCCTATTAATCTATTCTTTCTTTGAGAATTGATATTTTTATTTGCCATATTGCATGAATATGAAGTAATTAAGTAAACTAAATATTTTTGTCATTTTTGCATAATTGAAAATGTCATAGCTATCTGATTTGTGTAATGCCTGAACTTTGTTTGTGCATTTTATTTGTTTTCCTATTTGCACAATGCCTATTGGCTAAAACCTAAGCATGGGTGATATCCATTCATATCATATAGTTAATAATCATCTAATTAGTCTAGTCATGTAGTATAAGGCTATAAGCATAGATGGAAGACTAGTAACCAGACCAATCTGCCTAAAATATTTAGGGGTGCTTAGCTCCAATCTTTTTAATCTTAGCTAACAAAATAGCATCTACTCCTGGATTTATTATTCTCCAATCAAAAAAATCACCAAAGACTTCCAAGAGGCCATTCTTTAGGATTTCCCAACAATCCTAGTAAAAACACACAMAAAAAAAAAAAATCCATTGTGAAACCAACCAATCCCAGAGCCTTTGATCTATCCATTGAGAAGTTTCCTTAATTTCATTCAACTCGAAGTTTTTATCTGAGATTTCTCTTAACTCCTCACTCAGACTAGGCGAATCTAAGCCCTCAACCAAAAATATGCAGTTCATGGATCTTCTAGAAATAGATTTGAAATGAACTTTGTGTTACCATCCCCTTCCTTTGTCCACTGGTGCTTTGATTTTGCCTCCATGAAATACTTCTTTGTACAAAACGTCTTCCAATTGTTTCTTCAAATCCCACCTTAATTGCTTCTCTTCCATCCTCAACTCACCTAAAGTCTCTTGCAAAATTACATCCCTTTCCTTCCACCAAACCTTCACTTTTTGGATAAAGTTTGGATGACACAATCACATCTCTAATCACTTCAACAAGGTTGATCAAAACTTTATCAAGGAAAGGGTGACATCTAGAAAAGTTTGTTTATCAAATGTCACTTCAGATATGCAATTTGTAGACATTTTCACTAGTGTGGTAAAATCTAAGTTAGAAGCTGATTTAAACAAGTTAGGTATGATTTTTTTATAGATAATATCAATTTATTAATTAAAAAACAAAGGATACATATAACAAACTTCCCACAAAGAGGTAGGTGCAGCCTCTTAAATTATATCATAAAGCTTACAAATGAGCCCAAAAAAGCTAACTCCTATGTACCCTTTGTTTGGCTAAAAAATCTGCCAGCCCATTTGCCAAGATCTTTCCCATTGAACTATGACTAATATATTTGATGTTAACCATTTGAATCTTCTCAAAGCCCCTGTATAGGACCAAGCTTCAATCTCTGGCTCTTTTAACCACCCAATAACCGGGTTAGAGTCACCTTCAATGATTAAGTGTTCCACTGCCAACTCTTTCGCAATCTCTGCTCCTTGTAGTATGGCTTGGACCATTAACTGAATCTCCCACACCAATATAAACTATGATCTAGCCCTCGACATTTCTGAAAACTCCCCCAATTCCAGACAACCCTGGGTTCTCTTGGAGAATGCATGTACTGACTAACAACACTGACATCATAAGAAATTCCAAGCCAAGTCAAACAAAGATACAAAAATTTCCCAACCAGCCATTGATACATTGTCTTGTCATCAAGAGGTTCACCTTCTGCACTTATCTTATGATTCAATTCAATGGGAGTATCTGTAGGTTTTGTCAACACTCTCGGCTGAATAGAGAATAGAACAAGAATAATTTTAGAGGTGTCAAGAATGAATTGACCCCCACCTCAAAGAGTCTCTTATATATTAAAAGATATGTACAATTACAAGAATGCCCATATAGGGATGAAAGAGTAAAAAAGAATAAGATACATAAGTAATATACAATAGGGACTATACTAATAAGATGCATCAAGTCACAGAGTCTCTACACTCCCCCCTCAAACTGATGCCTAGACATAAGCATCAGTTTGTCTATAAGAAAGAGATGTCGAACTATAGTCATAGCTTTGGTGAAGATATCGGCAATCTACATATCCGAGGCTACATGAGGARGCGATATAGACCCAGTACTGAAAAGATCTCGGATAAAGTGGTAGTTCACCTCGATGTGATTGGTCCTCTCATGGAAGACAGGGTTAGATGCAATCTTGATAGTACTCGTATTGTTTGCATAGAGAGGAATCGGAGTAGGAAGTTGAATGCCAAGATCCATAAAGAGAGATCGTAACCAAACAATCTCATTGAAAACAGAAGGCATGGCCCTATACTCTGATTTAGTGGAAGACTTAGAGATTGTTTGTTGTTTCTTACACTTCCAAGAGATGAGTGAATCACCCATAAAGACACATCACCCATAAATGGATCTACTAGTGTCAAGACAACCAGCTCAATCTGCATCTGCATATGCTCTCAACTAAATAAGAGAGGAGGAGAAGAACAGTCCCTAAGAAGTGCTTCTAACATATTGAATGATGCAATGAACAACAGTCATATGAGGTTGACGAGGAGCAGAAACAAATTGACTAACAACTTAAATAGCATGAGAAATATCATGCCGAGTCATAGTGAGATAAATGAGGGACCCCACAAGCTGGCGATACAAGGCAGCATCAGGAAGTAATGGACCTTCAGATTTAGATAGCTTAAGATTTAACTCCATAGGTGTATCAATATGCTTCTCATCATTAAGACCAGCAAGTTTAACATGGTCAAAGGCATATTTCTGCTGACAAACAAAACATCACTACGATGAACTTCCAATCCTAGGAAATAGGTGAGAGGGCCCAAGTCCTTCATGCGAAAGGAATTATGAAATAACAATTTCAATTCACGAATACCCTCAACATCATTCCCAGTCAACAACATGTCATCAACATACATTAGGAGAATGGTAAGGCCCTAAGGCCATCGCCTAACAAAGAGAGTGATTAGAAGAACTCTAGTTATATCCAACAACAACTACAACATCTCGAAAGCGTTCAAACCATGCCCAGGGAGCTTGTTTTAGACCACATAGAGATTTTTTGAGCCGACATACTAAAAAATAATCACTGTAAGATCCAGGAGGAGGCTTCATGTAGACCATCTCCTTCAACTGACCATGAAGAAAGGCATTCTTCACATCAAGTTGGCATATGGTCCAAGATTGAGCAGCAGACAATGCTAAAAGAACACTGACTGTGGTGATCTTTGCAATAGGAGCAAAGGTTTCTTCATGGTCGATACCATTCTCCTAACTATATCCCTAGGCAACTAAACGTGCCTTGTATCGATCAAGAGATCCATTAGGTTTCAGATTAGTGTTGTAAACCCAACGACTCCCAACAATGGATGCATCTGGAGGAACAGGCACAAGGTCCCAAGTGTCATTCTCATGTAAAGCATGAATCCCTGCATCCATGGCTTCCTTCCAATGAGGGCTAATACTGGCTTCCTAGTTGGAGCGAAGAATATTTGTGGAAGATAGGACAATAAACAAAGAGCTATGGTTTAAAGGAAAACTATAGTGGTCAGGAGGTCTAGATATACGAGTAGAACAATGATGAGGAACAGAAGTATGAATATTTGAAATAGAGGTATCACTTACATGAGCAGTGGTAAGATGATTTGAACCGAGAGGAAGGAGAGTCGTAGGCGCAGGGACTGGAGCACGTAACCGCTTGCGAGAGAAGATGAGAAGATCCTTCTTAGTTGAAGGAGGTGGAGCATCCTGTAAATCAAAGTTTGGCAAACAGAAACAGACAGTGCAGACAGTCTAGCAATTCCAGCAAAAAAGGAAATGTGCTCAAGGAAAACAATATTACATGATATACGAATGCGACGAACTGAGGGATCATAACAAGAAATCATTTGTGGTCAGGACTGTAACCCACAATGGAACACATGATAGACTGTGCAAACAATTTAGAATGTTCACGAGAGGGAAGATGAACAAAGCACACACATTCAAAAACATGAATCATAGATAAGTCTAGAGAACGACCAAACAACTTCTGAAAGGGAGATATATTACCAAGAACAAAGGAATGAATATAGTTGATAATAAACATAGTTGTATTGGCTGCCTCTACCCAAAAGGAAGATGGAGTATGGGACTCCTACAATAATGTCCTCACAACACTAAGGATATGTCCATTCTTGCGCTCGGCCACACCATTCTGCTGAGGAGTATTTGGAGAACTCCATTGCACTTGTATTCCATGATTCTTCAAATAGGATAAAAAGTCTCCATCAATGTATTCTCCCCCTGAATCCGAACGGAAAATACGCACTTGTGATTGAAACCGAACCCATACCATAGCATGGAACAACTTAAATGTTGGGAACACCTCTGACTTGTGGCGGAGAAAGTATATCCACATATACCTAATACAGACATCAATGAACGACACAAAATATTTGTATCTAAGTCAAGAAGTGACAGATGCAATCCAGGCATCACTATGTATAAGCTCAAAGGGAGAGGTAGCATGCTCAGACATGTGAGGAAAAGGTAAAGTATGGCTCTTACTTAAACAATAGGAAAGTATCAAAGGTCTGCAAGGGAGAAACTCTATTCTTAATAAGACCTGAATCAAACAAAAATTTTAATTTCTCAGCATGTATATGACCCAAACGTTTATGCCATAAGTCCCAAACATTATTTCTATGACTCAGAAAGGAACTAGAAGTGGAAGAACTGAAATAATATGATGATACTGCTGTTTGAGACTTCTCGAACTCCAATGCAAACAGACCGCCCAACCTGCACCCTTTTCCTTTCACCTTCCTAGTGTTCCGATCCTAAATCAAACATCCATAATGAGAAAATATGAGAATGTTATCTTCATCAACTAATTGACCAACAAAAATCAGATTTGTAGTGAGATTAGGAACAAGAAAGGTCTTGGTAAAAGGGAAAGATGCAGTGGGTGAAAGCTTAAGAGATAGATCACTACTACCAATGACGTTTAACTTTTCACCATTGGCAGTAACAATATGTTTGTGATGGGTTTTAGTAAAATTACTTGGTTGGTTAGGGTAGGCTCCTGTCATATGGTTGGTAGCTCCAGAGTCGATGATCCAAACATGAGAAGGAGAAGAACAATAACTGGAGAACTCACTAGGTAAGCAAAATAGTAGAAAAGGCAGAGGAATAGATATGCTACCAGTTGTTGAAAGTTTTCCTCAACCATAGGAGCTAGAGAATCACCTTTAACAAAAGAATCACCACCAGTAGTAGATTTCTTACTTCCATGTGCTACAACAGCAGTGCCAATCACGTAGGCCATTTCAACAAGAAAACAACAATTCAAACACAAGGATATCTGAGAAAAACAAATTCAGCAAGAATTCCCTCTAGTCCAAGAGGAAAGACAAGTATTCCAATGCTAGAGAAGGTCAAGGAACCCCAATAAAATACCATAAACAACTTCAGCAATCAAGGACTCGAGTTGTTAGTCCAAAAAAGGCAAATTTTAGGACTGTCAAATCTAAAATCTCTCAAATATCAATTCTGAAATCTGAAAAAAAAAAATAAATGGAAAGCAAGAAAACCCTAGGACGACACCAGATCTAGAGTTATAGGTTAATCAATTCAGCCGATTGAGAGAAAACTATGGTTTACAAACATATCAGGCATCTTTTCCAAGAACAGAGAAGTATGTTGTGCTGATCGAAACAGCCCTTAGAATAGGTATTGGTGACTCAATACAGGCTGAATCTCTGGCTCTACTTCAAGGTTTAAAGCTGGCTGAGCAGATTGGAACAACAGATTAGAAAGAGGAGACTCGCTACTGGTCATTTCTGGGGCTAAAAACATCACATCAGCACCTTGGAAGCTCAAATTTATCTACAGAGAAATTGACATACTTGCAAGGAGGTTCAACTCTCAGTTTGGTTGGGTCAAAAGGACTGCAAATAGGTTGGTGGATACCCTAGCAAAACAGGGGGCAAATAGATCTACCTTGTACTGGGCAGAACTGTAACTGTTTGTATGTGTTTGTAGATTGGGTTAACGCAGTGCTGCAACCTATAACTATTGTAATTCAATATTTCTCTGTTATTAATAAAAGTCTTATTTGCTGATAAAAAAAAGGGGGGTATCGAAAGTTCTGTTACAGTTCTATATTTAATTGTTTTGTCTGGGCAATACTTTTTTTTTTTCTCTTCCACTCTTTCTCTTCTTCTCTCTTCATCTTACATTTCTCTAGCTAGCTGATACAACATTTTTCCTATTTTTTTATTAAAATAGTAAAGTTATACATTAATCAAACCATTTATCTCATAATATTCATAAAAAAAAACATTTATCTCATAATAGATGAAAATATCACTCACTTTTCTACACCCTGAATGTGACCTCCCTTCCACATTTTCAGTAGTCCCTGCTAGACATGACTTTACCTTATGTGTTTGGGTGCTTTCAGGGAATAGACTCTGCAAAATAAAGAATAAATCCTATTATCTAATCAAAAAATTAATACTAGAGGTGCAACCATCTTTCCTAGATAAAAATGCTACCATGCTGAAAAAAAAAAGAAAAAAATTGCCATAGGCTGCAGATTTTTTTTTCCAGGTAACAAAGACTTACTGTCTGAATGGGTAACTTAGAATTTCTGCTAAGATGAATTGAGTCCAATCTAAATTGCTGCTTTGTTTTGTGTGAAGATCCATTTCCATGAGAAGATTCAATCATCAAGCAGCTACAAATCGGGTTCCTTCTGGTGCTACTGAACTTATCTTCTAATGTGTTACAACCATATGTATACATTACATACTTCCGCAACTTGTTGAAAGATAATGAAATATAAATCAGTTCAAAAAAGAAGAAAAAAGAACAATAAAAGTTCAATACAAGTCCCCTCAGATAAACACTACAATACCTTATCCCAATGTCGTTCAGCTCTCCTCCTACTTCGAATCGCTTGCATTACACCATCTTCATTACGGAGCCTCTTGATCCTGTACTCACACTATAAACCAAGCAAGTGAGACACCAAAGACAATATTTATTATTTTCTCAGGCTTTTCAGGAAAATCTCTCAAATGAAATTTAACAAATAATTAGTACTAAAAATCACACAAAAGTACAAAATCTATCTTTATTTTCTGATTCTGATGTAGAAAACAAAGCACCAGAAATTCCTGAAACATCAAAGACATCAATTTTCAGAAAATTTTTGCCCTAGATGTGTTTTTTCATCTTTGAACAAGATTCTGAAACAAAAAAACAATATTTTGAGGAAATCATCCAAACATGTTTCAGATACAATCAAGGCTGCAGACTCAGACTGGACACAATTGTTTTGGCCACTAACACTGTCCCACAGGTCAAATGATCTGACCATTTCACTTGCTTAAATAAAAAAGCAAAAAAAAAAAAAGAAAAGATATAAAAACTGAAACCAATTAGAGATTATCTTTTAAAGCAATTTTAAACCAAAGCAAGTTCAATGCACCTAATCTTATAGATTATAAAGGTCTCAACATATGTATTTGTGGTAGGTTTGACCATATCAATGTTTCCAAGAACCAGGCGGCTAAATAATGTTTAGGTTGCTATTTCCTGGTTCTGATGGTCCAACCATCCAGTCCATCCTGAAGTCAGACACCACCACATACGATGTCGATGATGAGATTTATGCAGTAACTGTTTAATTTTTAGGATTTTCTTAAAATCTAACATTCTGATATAAAATATTTTTATTAAAAATGAAGAAAAAATGAGATCCCCCCTTCCTCTTCATCCTCCTCCTCTTAAGGAGAATTATGCCTCCTTGTGTTCGGGAGGCTTACGCCTCTTGCATTCTGAACTACGCCTCATGCCTCTAGGTAGTGGAATGCCTCACGTCACGCCTCTGCGTTTTAAAACATTGCTTGGTACAGCGACCAAGAGAGAAGAAAGAAAAAATCAGGGGCTGAAGGTTGCGCCCAGAAGAAGAAACCACGATTTGAGAAAAAACAGATTTCCAGAAAAGGAAAGAAACCACTATCTGAGAAGAGAAGCTTGCGCCCAGATCAGAGATGCTCTGATACCATGTAGTTCGACAGAGAAGAGAGAAGAGAGAAAAGAGAAGAATCTATTTTGTTAATCTAAAGCTGGCGGTGCCTAAGTTAGTATTTATACTTAGGGTGAAAGCTCATAAGAAATACAAGAGGAAAGGGCAGAAATGCCCCTACTAGGCCACAGGCCGCTACACATTACAACACCAACTAGAAAAGAGATTACTTTGAAGTTCAAAAAGTGTAAGAAAGGGGCATTTTGTTTTGTGTGGGACCCATAGAGTTCCCAAATCAAATGACATGATCACCTCACTCAAAACCAATAAGCAACCTTCTACTCGAAGTAGGAGTAGTTGCAGAACTGTACAACAACCCAATTTGTTGTACAGTGGTCTAGACAGTCATACGATTGTCTGCTGAGTCATATTTAGTCAGTCAACTAGTTCTAACTGAAATGAATTGGACCAAGCCACCCACAAGGCTAAATAAAGTTGCCAACTCAATCTGGTGGTATTTAACAGGTATCAAAGGCCAATTAAATACTTCCAATATAATTCTTCCACCCATAATACATGGCACTGCAGCTTTCAGAAACTTATTCCCTTCTAAGAATAGTGTGTATCTTCTATTTAGATGAATCCTAAAACATATTTTGCAAACCATTTAAGAAAACTAATTATATACACATGGTTTTCAACAAAACCATATTGTTAAAACAATTTTTTAATTACCTACCAACAAGAATTTTCATTTTCATTGTAGAAGTGTTCACTCCAGTTAATGGAGAAGTGAATCCCACAACAACAATTATTTATCTTCATTCTGTCTTTGAATACACCAACACACCTAGGTATATCTCTCAATTGAACTTCACTATTTGGTGATGCCAGTTGCAAAAACTAGGGTTTCAAGAGAGAAAGAAAGAAGAGAAGAAAAGAAGAAGAGGAAGAAGAAAGCAATGTGTCGAGAGGTGTGTGAAGTTCACTGTTCACACCCTCAAAAGTTCACTTTATAATTGAAAATTAATAATTACAAGAAAGGCCCCTATCTGGGTGCCCAAATACAGAGAGTATAAGAAAGGAGAAAATGACCGAAACACCCCTGTCTAACCATTCTCAACACTCCCCCTCAAACTGAGCATATATGTCAATCATGCCCAGCTTGGCAAGGTTCTTAGCAAACTTTAGATGGTGAACACCTTTAGTGAGGCAATCAGCTAGTTGGTCTTCTGACCATACAAAAGGAAGGCAAATCTCTCTGCTAGCAATTCTTTCTCTAATAAAGTGTCTATCCACCTCAATATGCTTTGTACGATCATGTTGGATAGGATTGTGAGCAATATTTATGGCTACTTGATTGTCACAATTTAGTCTCCTTGGAACATTTTCTTGGATGCCCATCTCAGTCAATAAGGTCTTCAACCAAAGTAGTTCACACTCCATGAGCCATTGCCCTATACTCTACCTTAGCACTAGAACGAGCAACCACAGATTTTTCTTACTTCCCCACACCACATTGCCTCCAACTAAGGCACAATAACCAGATGTAGATCTTCTATCATCGATGGACCCTGCCCATTCAGCATATGTGTAAGCCTCAATCTTTAGATGGCCATGGTTGGAATACAACATTCCTTTGTCAGGGCATCCTTTCAGGTAGGCTAATTCTGTTAACTGCCCCGCATATGAGATGTTCTGGGTCATGCATATATTGGCTAACCACTCCAACAGCATAGGAAATGTTAGGTCTAGTCAAACAAAGATACAAAAGGCATCCCACCAATCTCTGATATACCCCCCTGTCTGGAAGAACTCCTTCAGTAGAGTTCAACTTGTGGTTGGGACCAATTGGAGTTTCTATAGGCTTACACCCTCATTTTCCAACCTCATGAAGCAAATCAAGTACATATTTCCTTTGTGACAGAAAAATCCCCTTCTTGGATCTTGCAACTTCAATGCCAAGAAAGTATCGGAGATCACCAAAGTCCTTAATCTCAAATTCAAAAGCAAGGAATGACTTTAACTGAGAGATACATGTGATATCATCACCTGTCACAACAATGTCATCAACATATACTATCAACATTGTTACTCTACCATCAACTCTTCTAATAAATAAGGTGTGGTCAGCCTGAGATTGAGAAAAACCAATCTTTAAGATGGCATTCCTGAACCTGTCAAACCATGCTCTTGGAGACTGTTTTAACCCATACAAAGACTTCTTCAAGTGGCACACTTTTCCATCACTGTTAGGGAAACTTACCCTAAGTGGTAAGTCAATATACACTTCCTCTTGTAAGTCCCCATTAAGGAAAGCATTCTTTACATCCATTTGAAATAAAGGCCACGAGTAATGGGCGACAAGAAATATGATCACACAAATAGAGTTCATTTTAGCAACTAGAGCAAAGGTTTCTAGATAATCAATGCCATAAGTCTAAGTGTATCCTTTGGCTACAAGCCGAGCTTTGTATCTTTCAATTGATCCATCTGCCTTGTGCTTAACAGTATCAACCCACTTACACCCAACAGGAATCTTATCTTTAGGGCAAGGAACAACCTCCCAAGTCTGGTTCTTTATTAGGGCCTTCATTTCTTGGTTCATAACTTCCTTCCAATTGGGGCATTGCATTGCCTCTACAACACTACGAGGTATGGAAACAGAAGAGATAGCAGAAATATAGGCACAATAGGAAGGGGAGAGAGCATCATAAGACACATAGTTAGTGATAGGATACTTGCTACATGTCCTCTTCCCTTTTCGAATGGCAATAGGAAGATCAAGGTCAGAATCAATAATAGGATTGTCAGGGGGTTCAAGATTACCTGAATCTGGGAATCAGATTGTGATGGGCATTCTGCTTCAGGAGCCACCCTCTTAATGCTCTTAATGAAAACTGCTGCTAGGATCGAGGTCGATACACAGAAGGAGGAGGAGGAATAGAGGTAGGAAGAGAGGGAGGAATAGTGGTAGGAACAGGAAGGCAGAAGGAAGTCCGATCTTCACTTGCATTCTCCCCCTGAAGAGAAGGACAGGATGACTAGAAAAAGGAAGAGGATTCCAAAAAGTTAACATCCTTAGAGACATGTCTCTTTCCAGAGAGAACATCAAAGCATCTATAGCCTTTCTAGACTGGAGAGTAACCAAGGAATACACACTTAACGGATTTAGGATCAAACTTGCACCAGAAAGGGCTCATATCATGAACAAAACAAATACAACCAAAGACCTTAAGGGTAGATTAAAAGGAGGTTCATCAGGGAAGAGTAGTTGATGAGGAGAATGAAGGTTAAGGACCCTTGATGGGAGTCTGTTAATGAGATATACAGCTGTCTCAATAGCATCACCCCAAAAACAAGTTGGAACATGAGTTTGGAACAATAAGCCTCGAGCAACTTCAACCACATGCTTGTTTTTTCTTTCAGCCACCCCATTTTGTTGTGGAGTATGACTACATGAACTTTGGTGAATAGTGCCCCTATCTTCAAGAAATCTATCCAAGTGATGTTCAAAGTATTCCTTGGCATTGTCAGATCTTATTATCTTAACTCTTCTCAAATTGTGTCTCGACCATATTCATGAAATTTTGAACAATCATAGGAACTTCATCTCTACTTTTCATCAAGTAAACCCATGTATACCAACTGTAGTCATCAACAAAGAGAATGAAATATCAAACATCAGTATCGATCAAATGGAAAGCAACATTACTTCTTTTACTACTTGCAAAATATGTGTTTCTACATTGTTTGGATAAATGGCAAACTTCACATTCAAAATTCGATTTGGACACAGAATCAAACAAGTTTGGAAACAAAAACTTGATAGAATTGACAGACATATGACCAAGGCGACAATGCCATAATTTCAAAAGACTCATTTTCTCATTGGAACAAGACTCACTCCATCCACTTCATGCCCACTTCCAATCGTCTTCCCCGTGCTCTGGTCCTGAAAAACACAATGGGTGGGAAAAAAGGTCACTGAGCAATTGTGGGATTTTGTTAGAGAACTAACAAACAATAAATTTTTTTTGTAGCTGGGGCACATGTAGAACAGAGTCAAGAGAAAGGTTATTAATTATTCTAACTTCACCCTGACCCGAGATTGGGGTCTGAGATCCATTCGCAACAATAATCTTGCTCTTCCCTAGGGTTAACTTATATGAGGTAAAATGTGAAGGCATACCAGTCATATGGGCACTGGCCCTAGAGTGTACAATCCATGGGCTAAAGGAGGTGGAACAAGCAAGTGCACTACCTATCTTGGCATATGAACTAGATAGATTACTAAGTCCAGAACCAGATGATGAGGATGTACCACCCTTCTTTAGTTGCAACGATATATTCCTGAGTTTGTCATCACATCAACAAAGTTAAGCACATCTGAGGGTTGAGCATCATTACCAACTGTAGCCAAGTGAGCATTGCCCTTCTTCCCAGTTTTGTACTTCTCCGGTTTTAGATGAGGATTGAGCTTCCAGCACCTTTCTTTAGTGTGTCTTGGCTTCTTGCAGTACTCACAAATAACATCCTCGACCTTCTCTGCAATGGGATGTTTGCTAGCATTTTGCTTGGGTCGAGATGACATAAAGGCAGAATGATCACTCACAGAGGATTGCATCATGGCCGTTCTTCGGCTTTCTTCCCCTTGTACAAGAGAGTAAGCAGTAGCAAGAGAAACAACGCCTACACTAAGAATGTGTTGTTTGGTGAAATCAAACTCTGGGTTCAAGCTAGCCAAAAAATCAAAGACTCTATTCTCCTCTATGTACTTCCGATACTGCTCACCATCTTCAGGGTCCTTCCAAACTAGAGCTTTCAAGTGATCCATTTCTTCCTAGATAGACTGTAGAGAAGAGAAATACATAGCGACAGATCTCTCCCCTTGATGCATACTGCAATCTTCCCTCTGAAGTTGATACACTCTAGCAGTATCATTAACTTGGGAATAAGTAGCAACTACCCTATCCCAAATATCCTTGGCAGATAGAAGTAACATGTAATTTCGGGCAATATGAGGTTGCATTGAGCAAATCAGCTACGATATAACAAGGGAGTTGTCCTATTCCCACTTTGCAAATTTCGGGTCTTCAAGACTAGGCTTCACTTCCCTTCCTATGATGAATCCCAGTTTACCCCTCCCAGTAATGGTAAGTTTAGCAGACTGAGACCACTCTAAAAAATTAATTCCATCCAGTTTAATAGTAGTTATCATACCACTAGAAATATTTGCAGTTCCCGGAAGCACACCGGGTACCATCTAAAAATCCTTAGATGATTCCATATTCTAACAAGACACCTTTTCACCAACCAAAAAGGACCCCCAACACTTTAACTAAGGTTCTAGACCCAAAAACAAGTTACCCCACGGTTAAGAACCAAAGGGAGACCCAAAAAACTAGATTGGCGGCAAAATAGAGGGAGAAAAAAATCTCCCAAAAATCACATAGTGCTCAAAAAATTACGGGACCACTTCCTGTCAATCCCAAATTGAAAAACAACCTGAATGGTCTAGGTTTTACAGCATAAAAAAAATCATTAAACATGTTGTACATGGCACGACATCAGATCTGGAATTTATGTGATTTTTCCTTGAAAAATCCACCAAAAATCATAGAAGTTTCATACAACAACAAGAATCGTACCAAAATTTTTCTAAAATTAGGGCAAATCAAACTATGTTGGTTTCATAGGCTGCTGCCAGCACCTGTATGGACTGTTGACGTCATCCGACGGCGGTCTGACGTCAGTAGTTCGCCTCTAGGTAGGAGATCATCAAAAAACTAACTCCTAGAAATCATAGAAGTTTCATACAACAGCGAGAGTCATACCAAAATTTTTCTAAAATCAGGACGAATCAAACTATGTTGGTTTCATAGGCTGCTGCCAACACCTGTATGGATTGTTGACGTCATCCGACAGTGGTCTGACGTCAGCAGTTCGCCTCTAGGTAGGAGATAATCAAAAAACTAACTCCTAGATGCTTCTACCCGCTCTGATACCAAGTTACAGAAACTAGGGTTTCAAGAGAGAGAGAAAGAAGAGAAGAAAAGAAGAAGAGGAAGAAGAAAGCAATGTATCGAGAGGTGTGTGAAGTTCACTGTTCACACCCTCAAAAGTTCACTTTATAATTGAAAATTAATAATTACAAGAAGGCCCCTATCTGGGTGCCCAAATACAGAGAGAGTATAAGAAAGGAGAAAATGACAAAAAACACCCCTGTCTAACCATTCTCAACAATGTCAAATGCAAATAAATCCAAAACAAGATGAAATAATATAAACAAATCTAAGGATCATAAGCAACAACTGGAGATCTCATCAATTAAAAAGTCCGTAAGTCATCTAGAGAGGGGTCCTATTCAATATTTGTCCATGCAAACACTTATATATATACTTTGAGTCCATTACTCTAACAATAGAAATATATTGTCCTTTCTCACAAGTTAGCCATTTGTTCACAACAGTTTTAAGTTTATATACTGGTTATGTCATGTCTCTAAGTTATATAGGTGAGAAACCAATATATCCATGACATAYGTGATTGTACAAAAGAAGTTCAACGTATCCATAATAAAAGAAAATATACAGCACTATTAGACTTTCGAGGCATTACACTGTCCAACAGATGAAATGCTATTTTCAGAAAATATAAATAATGGACATGAACAATCTATAGTAAATTTCTGACCAAAACTTTATATACTCGTTTGCAGCCATCAACTCCTATGTATAGAAAGGCTCATTTGTTGTTACAAATATAGGAACACCAAAAAAATTTAAAAAAAAATCTTTTAAGCATATTAAAACCTTAAATGCATCTTTAGTAAATAAGTTGATAAGTTTGTGAGTGGCATCGTTATATGTTTTAAGCAGTAGATGAGTTGACAGATTGTCAAGGGAAATAGTCAACAAGAAATAGGTTAATCAAATCGTTCAGTAGCATCTGAAAATGTCATCATATTTAGTTCTTACACAATACAAAAACATAAGTGTACAACATTTTGTAAACTTTGTGAAAAGAAAATAGAGCTTACTTGCACCAAGAAATAGAAAAAGATGGAAATACTAATTGCATAGAGACCACCAAGATCAGCAAGGAAGCTCACTGCATATCTCAAATAATGAAACAATACTTAAGTTATTAATAAAGAGATAATGCTTTAAGATGAGGAAAATTCCCAAACACGGTAAGCAGATAAAGAGGTAAGGATTTCAAACCAACATGCCATGTCAAAGGAAAATTTCAGAAAATATATCCAGAAAGGGTAAGTTTAAACCTAATCACAGTTCAGTACTCATTAATCTCAAGCTCAAGCTCCCCCCTCCCGCTTCCATTAAACATTTTAGTTAACAGTTACCTAGAAATTTCCTAAAGTAAGGAGAAATAGCCCTGGATATTAAATGATGAATAGTATCACAGATACTAAATCACTAAGCTGCAGGTTGTAAGACCAATAGATGCCTGGGGGATAATAGTTATTTAAAAAACAAAAGCAATAAATAAATATAAATAAGTATATATGTATATTTATGTTCTTGGGTTTTGTGTGATCTTGGAGCTTTCTCCTTCACGACTCAAATGTATACAAAAATTACCAACAAGTTGCTGATTAGAACATTTATTTAATGCTAACAATACTGCTTCACAGTCCACAACAGATAAAGTAACTGAAGTACAAGAAATAAATAAGGAAATGAAATTTTTCCAGCATTTGAAAAACGCTAAATTCCTTACCCCATCGCGCATTCAGCCACCACTTGCCTCGACAAACGCCCAAGCACACATTCTCAGAATATCCCCCGGGAGATTAGCCATATGCACTCCAAAGGTTCCATCACTCGTGGCGTGACATCAAGTCCAAACCGTTCATAGATGTACATAAAAAGAAAGGGGTAAACACATAAGAAGTCCTCCATGTGCAGCTTGGATCCATCAACTGATGAATGGTGCCATCCATCTGGCCATACAGATAACCAAGGAATATTGACGCCAAAGGGGACATGTAGCCATGGAAGCTAACACAGCAAGGGGAGCCAGCGTGGTTCAAATCCCATAATCAAGACTCCCGGGGAATAGAAACCACAAAACGACATATAAAATAAATGCAGCCAAATGACATTGGCCATCCTCACCCCTAACCATAATGTCTGTACTGTCCTTCTGCTCGAACCAGTACTTGATCAAGCCATCCATTGGCATCTTTCCTCAGGCCGACATTGTATCAATCTTAACTCATGGGGGATCGGTTTCCCATGCTACAAGTGCATCGGTGACAGCTCCTCTGGAAAAGTCAGCAGAACAACATTCTCTACGGAAATCCCGAACTCACCAACCAACCCAACAAATGTATGGGTCCCACACAACACAAATGCGCAAGCAGGGGCTCCAAAAACTCAACCCCTTCACGACCAGGTAGATGCATGAAGTAGTCTACCAATTTTAACAGACCGGCTGAATGAAGAAGTCTGCAAAACATGAGATTCTCCAAGATATATGTCGCCCAACCTGTAAAATCGGCAACCACTTTACGATCTCCGTCCTAGGTTCAGGGCAACAGTATACAACAGACCATTTCTGGTGTCCATAGAGACAGAGGAGCTCCCAACCTTCAATCAGGTCATATGAATAAGGGTGTCAATGGACCGGTTTTGGATTGGACCCCGTCCAAAACAAGATCAATTTGGACAGACTAACAAGTCATATTGAATTGGACCAGTCCAGACTTAATGGTCCAAAGTGTTTATTGGATTGGATTGGACCTGGTCCATCCATAATGAATTTATATTGAATTGGATTGTATTGAGCCAACATCTGGTCCATTGGTAGAAGATAAGAACCAATCTAAACTAAAAACAAATTTGAACAGATTGGACGGTCCAAATATTAAATTGGACCGGTCCAAAATGGTCCAAAATATTCATTGGATTGGATTGAACATGGCCCATTTGTAATGGAATCACATTGGACTGGATCCTATTAGACCAAATCCAGTCCATATGACACCCTTACATATGAATCACACTCACCCAACATCACCAAGACAAGAGGCCATAATCCCTTTCCATGATCTTGTTAGACAGTGTATGCCCTTAGCTCTAATCAGAATGATGTACATTATGACATTTAATGTAAATGAATAAAGTACATATTTGATTCATATTATTATGGTGTGTTTCTGTGTAACACCCTTAAACTTGACACATATGAGACTTGTGTTAGTTTAGAATCTTCACAGCCGTTGGATAGATCTGGGGAGATTTA